TTGCCATGATATAATGAGGTGAATATGTTTTACATGTGTCAAGGACATGAATTTGGGGGGGGGCAAGGAGTGGAGTGTCATGGATTGAATTGTGTCCCCTCAAAATATCTGTCAACTTGGCTGGGTCATGATTCCCAGTATTGTATGATTGTGTACCATTTTGTAATCTAATGTGATTTCCTTATGTGTTGTACACTCTATCACTATGATGTAATAAGATGCATTAGTGGCAGTTATACTGATGAGGTATACAAGATTGGATAGTGTCTTAAGCCAATCTCTTTTGAGCTATAACAGACAGAAGCGAGCAGAGACACATGGGAACCTCATACCATCAAGAAAGCAATACCAGGAGCAGAGTGCGTCCTTTGGACCTGAGGTTCCTGCGTAGAGACGCTCCCAGACCAAAGGAAGATTGATGACATGGACCATCCTTCAGTGTCAACAGAGAAAGCCTTCCCCTGGAGCTGTAGCCCTGAATTTGAAATTGTAGCCTACTGGACTGTGAGAGAATAAACTCTTTGTTAAAGCCATCCACTTGTGGTATTTCTGTTATAGCAGCACTAGATGACTAAGCCAGCTTCTATGGAACGCCATTTAAAAACAAAAGAATTAGAGAAGCAGAAAAATAAGGATAGTAATTTTTTAAAAAGGAAAGTAAAGAGATACTTTTAAAAAAAGGAATGGCCAATTGTATCAAATAGGCCAGAAACTTCAGAATGAATGAGCTTGAAATGCTATTTGATTTGGCAAAAGAGAAGACAACAGTGATCTTCAAGAATTTAGTTTCCCAAATACACAGCATTAACAAGATACAAACCATAACTAGCAATACACAAACATCAGCAGATAAACTAGATAACTGGGATCTTCTAAAAATTAAACACTTATGCTCATCAGAAGACTTCAACAAAAGAATAAAAAGAGAACCTACAGACTGGGGAAAAGAATTTGACTATGATAAATCTGGCAATTCCCCAATCTCTAAAATCTCTAGGAAAATCTAACATCTGTATAACAAAAAGACAAACAATCCAATTAAAAATGGGCAATGGAAATGAACAGATACTTCACCAAAGAAGACATTCAAGTGGCTAACAGACACATGAGGAAATGCTCACTATCACTAGCCATCAAAGAAATGCAAATCAAAACCACAATGAGATACCATCTCACCCCAGCATTACTGGCACGTATCAAAAAAACAGAAAATAACAAACGCTGAAGAGGCTGTTGGGAGACTGGAACTCTTATGCATTGCTGGTGGGAATGTAAAATGGTACAACCACTTTGGAAAACAATTTGCCTCTTCCTTAAAAATCTAGAAATAAAAATACCATATGATCCAGCAATCCTACTCCTAGGAATGTACCCTAGAGAAATAAGAGCTGTCACACAAATAGACATATGCACACCCATGTTCACTGCGGCATTGTTAATAATAGCAAAAAGATGGAAACAACCTAGGTGCCCATCAACAGATGAATGGATAAACAAACTATGGTACATACACACAATGGAATACTACACAACAATAAAGAACAATAATGAATTGGCAAAGCGTCTCACAACATGGATGAATCCGGAGGGCATCGTGCTGAGTGAAATAAGTCAATCACAAAAGGACAAATAATGTATGAGATCACTACTATAAAAAATCATGAAAAGGTTTACACACAGAAAGAAACAATCTTTGATGATTATGGGGGGGAGGGGAGGGAGGGAAAAACACTAAATAGACAATAGATAAGTGGTAAATTTGGTGAAGGGTAAGGGAGTACACAATACTGGGGAAACCAGCACAACTTGTACAAGGAAAGGTCATGGAAGCTCCATAGACACATCCAAACTTCCTGACGGACTGAATTGCTGGGTGGAGGGCTGTGGGGACCATGCTCTCGGTAACATCTAGCTCAATTGGCATAACATAGTTTATAAAGAAAATGTTCTACATTCTACTTTGGTGAGTAGTGTCTGGGGTCTTAAAAGCCTGTGAGCAGCCATCTAAGATACTCCACTGGTCTCACTCCTTTGGGATCAAGGGAGAATGAAGAAAACAAGATACAAGGGAAAGATTAGTCCAAAGGACTAATGGACCACAACTACCATGGCCTCCACCAGATTGAGTCCAGTACAACTAGATGGTGCCCGGCTACCACCACTGACTGCTCTGATAGGGATCACAATAGAGAGTCCCCGGCAAAGCTGGAGAAAAATGTAGAACAAAAATTCCAACACACAAAAAAAGACCAGATTTACTGGCCTGACAGAGACTGGAGAAACCCTGAGAGTACGGGCCCCAGACACCCTTATAGTTCATTAATGAAGTCCTCACAGCCAAAGATTAGACAGGCCTATAAAACAAAATGCGACTAAAGGGGCACATCAGCCCAGGGGCAACGACTAGAAAGCAGGAGGGGACGGGCAAGCTGGTAATAGGGAACCCAGGGCCGAGAAGGGGAGAGTGTTGATAAGTCGTGGGGTTGGTAACCAATCTCACAAAACAATATTTGTATTAATTGTTTAATGAGAAGCTAGTTTGTTCTATAAACCTTCATCTAAAGTGCAATAATTAAAAATAAATAAAAGAGTTTTCTATACATTTTCTCTCTCTTTCTCTCTCACACACACAGACATCTATATGTGCATTTTGAACATTGGCATCAGCTTTGGGTTACCATACATTCAGAGAGTATTTTTGGCTAAGGATACTTTGCAGGCCCAAATCATATTTACACAAAATCAGGTTGCTTCATTTTCCTTCCTCCTATTAGCCAAGGACATTATCTGGGACTACATCCAAATAAGTCTTTTACTAGACACTCAGCTTAATTGGTGTTTCTCATTAATGTTGTTCAGTTTTAAATAATTGCAAAGTTACCTGAAGGTACCCTACTATGTAAATATGGCAGTAGAATTGAAATTATGGAGGCAAGAATCGTGTTTTCAACCACAAAAATATTTCTTTTCATTTCAGTAGACATTGAATTATGATCAAGTAGCTAGGACATGTGGCATTCAATAATGATCAGTTCATTGACTGGTTGTTCTGGTTGTTTCATGTAACTACATTTGTGGAACAAAATTCAGAGGCAAGGGTATTGGAAAGGTAATTAGTGCATTGATTTCATGATTGTCTTCAGGAAAAAAATAAAGAAATAGAAACTCACAATAGGAAAGAAATTTAAGCAATTACTTTATTCATGAGGCAAGTTGAATTCTTCATACTGCTTTAAAGGGGGGGAAAGACACTGGTGTTCTTTTAAAAAGAATGGTTAGGCCCCGATTCAGGAAAATTCAGAACAGCCAAATCTATACTTAAAAATAACAAATAAACAAATAGGAAGTGAGTATTCACATTTCAAAAGATCCTTTATGTGATCAATGCATGCTCACCAAATCCTTCTACATTGCTAATTAATATGTCTATTAAATATGATTCTGATTTGTAAAAGTCAGGCCTCATATCCTTTCAACAATTTTGGAGTAAATGTGTTTTCCTTCCTCAAGGGATTACATTAAATACACTAAGGGGTATGAGATCTCTTGGTCTTGAAGTAATTTATTCCTATGGGAATATGCCCACAAAGTATGATCTCTCCACCAGGAAAAGACGAAAGTAACAAGATGAAAGTGGTTTAATACACTCAGTCTCAGTTACCTCTGCTAATAAGTAGATACAAGGACTGCCCCAAATATTTAATAATAGAAACATATCTTTCAACTTAGGAATAATTCATATGATTGATGGCATCAACTATATACTGTCAGTTAGGTTAGACTTATATAAATATTTGACTTTTTTTTTCAATTTTCATATGCATTAGGTGATAAGAGAAAAAAAAAACCTAAAATGATATTTCTCTTTCCACATTTTCTTGTAAATATAGAAATTGTTAATAAAGAATGTTAAAGATCTAAAGACACAAGCCTCATTTGGTTATTTAGTATTTTGCTTCCAGTTCCGGTAGAGTTGATTTCGAATCATGGTGACCCCCATGTGTACAGAGTAGAACTGCTCCATAAGGTATTCAAAGGCGTGACCCTTCAGAAGCAGGTCGGAAGCCTGTCTTTCAAGGGCCTCTGGATGGGTTCAAACCATCAACCTTTCGGTTAGTAGCCCAGCGCTTAACTGTTTGCCACACAGACACTCCAGTATTTCACTTATAGACATTATAAAATATATGAACCTATTTCACTCTCCCGTTGTTAGAGTCTCATCTTGCAGTATTTAAAATGAGTAAAAGTTAGAGATGACAAGGTAACTGACTGAATTTCACTTAACAACGGGGTAGCTGATCCTGCAGATGGATTCTCTACCATTTTCTGTGCAAAAATGTCCTTTAATTATCCTAGTAGCGTTACCTTAAGGGAATCAGGCAAAAACAAGATGGCGGTGTCTGATCTCTATACGCTGTATTACAATTCCGTTGAAAAGCATGAGATATTTAAAATGGTTTAAAGACAATGAGACTAGGCCAGAATGCCTCTAAATGATACTTAAGATGAGCAACAGAACTGCACTTGTGACTGCGTTGTCCTCTTCATCTATAATGAGGATCATAGAATCTTTCTCAGTAGTCTCAACACAAGCCTTTTTCTTCTACTCCAGCCTAAAATCTAAGAGAAGGAGTGAGAGACATAAGTAGGAAAACAAACCAAAACAGAAGAGCGACTATTATGGTCTGCACTAAGTCAGCTCCTGAGAATGGAAAGTTGAACAACGATTTATGCCTTCAAGAAGTTTACAGTTCAGAGACAGAGTCAAGAAATCATCCACGAAAACTGGGCGGTGGGGGTCGGCGGGGGGGGGTCCCAAGCTGCGCAGTACTGCCTGGCTGGAACGGGCTCCCAATTCGAGAATGGAGAAGGAGAACAAACAATCAATTCAAAACAAGCAAACAAAAAAAAGCCATGGGATCCCACCAGTGTGGCAGCACGGGCCAGGAGGCAGTCTCACATTCTAGCGGCATTTTGCAGCCTTTCAGGAAGAAGCAAAGATGGCGCACAGAGCCAGAATCCCCCTGAAGAAAACGAAGTCCATGCATGAGACCATGAAGGATAAGGGCCTACTGGAGGAGTTTCTGAGGACCCACAAGTACGACCCTGTCCAGAAGTACCACTTCAGCGACTTCAGCGTGGTCTATGAGCCCGTGGCCTACACTGATGCTGCCTACTTTGGAGAGATCAGCATTGGGACCCCACCTCAGAACTTCCTGGTCCTCTTTGACACTGGCTCCTCCGACCTGTGGGTGCTTTCTGTCTACTACCAGAGCCAGGCCTGCATCAGCCACCCACGCTTCAACCCCAGTGAGTACTCCACCAACAGGCAGACCTTCTCTGAGCACTACAGCAGCGGCAGCCTCACCGGCTTCTTCGGATATGACACCCTGACCATCCAGAGCATTGAGGTATCCAACTAGGAGTTTGGCCTAGACTCATTACCTGGACTCTTCTTCCTCTTGGCCCCCCACTCTATAGGGGTGGTCTCTCTGTGCTTCTTCTCTGGATTCAGCCTTCCTTTTCTGGACTCTGGACTTTCTCTAACAATAAATAGTTCCTCTCCAAAAAAAAAAAAAAAAAGAAAGAAAGAAATCATCTACTACAATTATACTGTAAAAAGAAAGCTAGGATTATGCACAGGATGTAAAGGAAAAAGGGTATGGAGAGCGGTATTTGAGCGACAGTGGATATTTCATGGTATGGAGAGTAGTAGTCAGGAAGTCTTCTCACAGGAGGAGAAACTTGAGATCAAGTTTTACCAAATGAGTGTTAGCGAGTGTCTTAGTTTCTTAGTGCTGCTATAACAGAAATACTACCAGTGGGTGACTTTAACAAAAAGAAATTTATTTTCTCACAGTTAGGAGGCTAGAGTCCAAATTCAAGGCATTAGCCTAGGAGAAGGTTCTTGTCTCTTTTCAGCTTCTATTCCTCAGTTTCTTGGTGATCTTCATGTGGCATGACATCTATCTTCCCCCATCTCTGCTTCTTTCTCTGTGCCTCATCTGCTCTTTTAATATCTCAAAAGAGATTGCCTTAAGACACCCTACACTGATATGGCCTCATTAACATAACAAAGAAAATCCTATACTCAAATGGGATTACATCCACAGGTATAGGGGTTAGGATTTACAATACCTATTTTTGGGGGACACAATTCTATTCATAACAGTGAGTTAAATTAAGAAGAGGGGAAGAGATAGTCAAGGACATGTGAACAGCATTTGTGAAAGCATTGGGATGTGAAGCAACAAGCTTCTTCTTCCAGAAAGATTTCTATGGCAGGTTGTATTTTTTAAAATATCTGCAACAATGTTTCCAAACCCACATACTTTCCAGAACCTTGTCACTCCCCCATCAAGAGGTAAACTCTATGTCTCCTTGCCTTAAACCTGGGCAGGCTTTGGGGATGGCCTCATTAATAAAGTATGATGGAAGTGATGCTATGTGACTTCTGAGGCTAGGTCATAAAAGGTGATCCTGTTTTTTCCATTTCTTTCTTGGAACATATGACTTTGGAGTCCTAAGCTAACATGTAAGAAGTCCAGCCTCCTCTCTGAAGCTGTTATCCTGAAACAAATGCGTAGAATAGAGGGAGCTGCCCAAGGAGCCCCGGCTGTTCAAGACTTCCCAGCCCAAACATGTGAGTAAGGAACCCTTCTAGATAATATCCAACCTCAGCCACAGTCTGACTGAAACTGCATGAGAGATCCTGAGTAAGAGCCACCTAGTGGAATCAGTCCATATCTAGAACTGTGAGATCTAATAGTACTGAATAATTGCTATTGTTTTAAACCATTGTTTTGGGGTGGTTTGTTATGTAGCAATAAATAACAAATACCCCCTCCTTGGCTACCTCACCTTGTGTCTAGATCAAGATTGCTTTCTGATGTTCTATTTACTTGACTGAATCCTTTACTAGTCTGTAACTACCAGGATGGCAGACCTAGGCCTATCATGACCACTGTTGGATCTCCTGCACCTAGCACAGTGCCTGGCACACAGTATGTGTTCAATATATAGCCATTCAATGAATGAATAAACAAATGAAGTAGTTTTATATGTGTAGAGAGTGAAAAAGCAGGGGTAGTGGGAGATGAGATTAGAGAGGCAGGTAGGAGAAAAATCATGAGCATCCTTGTGAACTAAGCTGAAACATTTGACTTTATTTTGAAAGCTAAAGGAACCCATAGAAGGATTTAGGAAGTTATCAGATTCATGCTTTAGGAAGATCACAGTAGTAATGGTATGGGGGATGTAATGAGACCAAAATAAGGTAGGCTATAAGAAGGTCTGTTCTAAGACAGTGGCAACAAGAATTGCAAGAAAAAGATGAATACTGAAGTACTGAGGACAGAGAATTTGCATAATAGACTTAATGGCAATCTTCTGCCACATGGGCTTCCATTTATAGTAAAAAAAGTTAATTACCTCTCTTACGTATGCCTTTAGGATAATTTTTAGAAGTTTCTTTATTTGATTTTGCATTGTCTTCATAATTACTGATTATTTCTGACAGAAATCATTCCCAGTGGTAACATATCCCAGAGATAACTAACTGTGCCTTACGTATTAATTTCTTGTGATCTCAAGCAGTTAATAGACTTGAGCTAACTCATCATGCTAATCCTTTGGGAAATGAATCTCCTAGCTACTCATATATCCTCTAAACTTAGATATCCTCTTTCTTTGGAAAATCTGTTTTCCAACCAAGTTAATTATCATTATTATCTGCAACCCTGGATCGTCAATATTAAAAGAGTACCTATTTTCTACTAGCCCCATTTACCATGAAATACTAGTACTGGACCTCATTTCCAGTTGCTTTAAATGAAGGGTCAGTTCCAGGAAATGAGTGTGTGGGGTGGGGAGTTTTGAGGGGTGGGGAGGAAGGTGAGATGATAGTAATCTTTGGAAAAGAGGAATGACTCTTGAACAGAGGAAGACCAAAATAATCACTAAGGGGAAAAGGAAGTAGAAGTAACATTCAGTACCAACAATAAGATCAATGAACCTAAGAACCATAGTAGGCCTAAAAACCAATCCATGGAAATAGAGGGATGTGGCAGATACAGCTGGTTGCTTATCCAATATCTATTCTCCCCTTTTCTACTAGACTAGAACCCAAACTAGGTTTTTCAGCTTCCTTTGCAGCTAAGGATGGCCATGTGGTATAGTTAAAGCCATTAAGCTATAAGTGAAAGTTGTTGGGTGGGATTTCTGGGAAATTTCTTTAAAAGCAATAGAATCAACTAGTCACATAATTTGTTTTGAACTTTTTCTCTTTTCTGGAACACAGTTGTGATGTTGATGGTGGAATATCTAACTTGCAACCATGATCATGGTCATACAAGCTAAGGATTGAAAGCAGAACGCTAGAAGAAGCCAGAGTCCCTGATGGCATCATGAAGCCATTGAACTGGCCCTGGACTGATGACCTCTGGACTTCTTGTTTCATGAAAATGAAGAACCCCCTAAATTGTTTGAACTACTGTTTAGTTGGGTTTCTACTGCACACACATGTAGAAAATCTATAACTAGTATGGGCAAGGGAAAGAGGTCATATCTGTAAACATCAGTGATCCTAGATGGTAAGAATGGAGACTGGGCAGGAGTGGGGATGAGGGGAGAGGAGCAAACTGATTAATAAATAATCTTGCATCCGATTCTGTATCTTGCTTCTGCTCACATCTGCTAATGCTGACCTTTTAAAGAGTCTGAATCTAAAAGATTGGAATCTCCTGACCTATCATTGTAGACAATGCAAGAGTCATTGCCCTCCCTCTTACGCTATTCATATTATAATATAAATTGTTAGGGATTTTTGCTTTTATGTTCATAAACAATACTGGTCTATAGTTTCCTTTTCTTATAACATCTTTGGCAAGTATTAGTATCATGGAGATTCTGGTGTTGAATTGGGAACTGTCCTCGTCCTCCTCATTTTCTGAAAGAGTTTTTATAGTATTGCAATTACTACCTTCAAAGTTTGATAGACCTTGTCATGGATTGAATTGTGTCCCCCCAAAAATGTGTGTAGCACCTTGGCTAGGTTATGATTCCCGGTATTGTATGATTGTGTTATCTGATGTGATTTCCTTATGTGTTGTAAACTCTACCCTTATGATGAGATTATATGTGATCTCCTCATGTGTTGTAAATTCTATCACTGTGATGAGGTTATACTGATGAGATTGACAAGATCAGTGTCTTAATGCAATCTCTTTTGAGATATAAAAGAGAGAAGCGAGCAGAGACACATGGGAACCTCATACCATCAAGAAAGCAGTGCTGGGAGCAGAGCGCGTCCTTTGGACGTGAGGTTCCTGCGCAGAGAAGCTCCCAGACCAAAGGAAGACTGATGACATGGACTTTCCTCCAGAGCCAAGAGAGAAAGTGTTCCCCTGGAGCTGATGCCCTGAATTTGGACTTGTAGCCTACTGGACTGTGAGAGAATAAATTTCTCTTGTTAAAACCATCCACTTGTGGTACTTCTGTTAGAGCAGCACTAGTTGACTGAGACAGACCTCATTAGTAAAGACATCTGGACCTAGAGTTTTCCTTGCAGGAAGGTTTTAAACTATGAATTTGACTTCTTTAATAGATATAAAATTATTCAGGTTATCTATTCTTTCTTGAGTGAGAGTTAATATTTTGTGTATTTTGAGGAATTTTGTCCCAGTTATCTAAGTTGTCAAATTTATTGGAATAAAGTTGTTCATACTATTCTCTATTATCCTTTAATGTCTGAAGAAGCTATAGTGATATCTCCCTTTTATTTCCTGATTTGGTAATTTGTGTCTTCTCTCCTTTTTTATTAATCAGTTGGGTTAGAGGTTTATCAAATATATTGATCTTTTCAAAGAACACATTTTTAGTTTCATTGTATTTTCTTTATTGTTTTCTGTTTCCCATGCCTTTTTGCTCTTACCTTTGTTTTTTTTTTTTTTTTCCTTCTTCCAACTTTGGGTTTGGACTCAACGGCAATGGGTTTTTCAGGTTTTCTTTAACTTTGGGTTTAGTTTTCAATTCTTTTTCTAGCTTCTTAAGATGGAAGCTTAAGTCTTTGAGTTGAGATATTTCTTTTCTAATATAAACATTTGATGATATGCGTTTTCCTTTATGCACTACTTTAGCAACATCCCTTCCATTTTGATATGTTTCATATAATTTTCAGTCAATTCAAATTAAAATATTAAAAATACATGTTTTTCCTTATCTGCAGCTATGCAATTTCTAGCACTGTTGACTCCTTTGTGTAGATGCAAATTTATTTCTGGTATCACTTCATGTTTTTTTAGCACATGTCTCCTGACATATATTCTCTTAGCTTCTTTTTTGTCTTAAAAAATCTTTAATTCATATTTAAATTCACCTTTTTTAATAATATTTTTACTATGTAGATTAACATTCTAGGTTAACAAGTTTTTTTTTCATTCAGTACTTTAAAGATGTCAGTCTTCTTACTTGCACAGTTTCAGATCACAAATCTACTGTCATTCTTATCATTGACTTGCTAAACATGTTGTTTCTTTTTTCTCTGACAGACTTCAGGAGTTTTTTCTTTATTTTTGATTTTAAGCTGTTTGACTATGATGTGCTTAGATGTGTTTTTCTTTGTATTTATTTGCTTGGGATTCTCTGAGCTTCTTGGATTTGTAGGTTGTTGTCATTCATTAAATTTTGGAAAATTACCAGCCATTATGGCTTCAAATACTGCTTCTGGTATATTATCCCTTTCCTCTTTTTGGAACTTTAATTACATGTATATTAGACTGTTTGTTTGTTCTCTACAATTGGATTCACTGTATTTTTTTTTCCTGTTCTTTTTTTTTTCCCTCTTTGTGCTTCAGTTAGGATATTTTCCTTTTGTTTTTATTTCTTTCCTTTTTAAATATTTTTCTTTTTTATTTTGGAATAATTTAAGATTTACAGAAAAGTTGTGAATATAGTAGAGAGAGTTCTAATATACTGTATACTTCCACCAGCTTCCCCTAATATTAACATCTAGACAACCATGGTGCATTTTTCAAAACTAAAAAATTAATGTTGATACAACACTATTAACTAAACTACAGACTTTTATTTCAGTTTCACCAATTTCTCCACTAATGTCTTTTCCTGTTCAGAATCTAATCCAGGATAGCATATGGCATTTAGTCATCATGTCTCCTTAGTCTCCCCAGGTTTTTCCCCAGTCTTTCCTTGTCTTTTCATGACTGTGATGGTTAAGGTTATGTGTCAGCTTGGCTGGACCGTGATTCTTAGTGGTTTGGCAGTTATGATGTAGTTTGGCAGTTATATAATGATGTAATCAATTCCATGATGAGATTTGCTATGAGCATCCAATCAGCTGAAAGGAGTTTCCTTGTGGGTGTGGCCTGCCGCCAGTATTTAAATGGATGTTCCAGCAAGGCTCTCACTCTGGATCCTGTATCTGGCTTGTCATCATCTGACCTCCAGTTCCTGGGACTTGAGCTAGCAGCTTACCTGCTGATCTTGGGATTTGTCAGCCTCTGCAACCTGTGAGCCAGTGGCCTGCCATCTTACCTGCTGATCTTGGCTCTGTCAGCTCCTGCAGCTACAAGAGTCAGGAGAAGCCTCCAGCCTGACACCTGACCCACAGATTTGGGACGTTCCAGCCCCTACAACCACGTGAGCCATTTCTTGAGATAAATCTCTCTATATATGCGTGTGTGTGTGTGTGTGTGTGTGTGTATACACACATATATATATATACTTCACTGGTTTTTCTTCCCTAGAGAGCCCATCCTAAGACAGTAACCTTAACATTTTTGAAGAATATTGGTCAGGTGTTTTTTAGAACATCTCTCAATTTAGGTTTGTCTGTGGTTTTCTCAGGATTAGACTGAGATTATGGGTTTTGGGGAAGGATATTACAAAGGGGTGAGGTGCTCTGCTCATCACATTATATCAGGAGGACATGATATCAACATGACTTATCACTAGTGATGTTAATGTTGATGACTTGGTTAAGGTGTTTTCCAGCTTTCTCTACTGAAAAGTTAGTATTTTTTTCCTTGCTACATACTTTGGTAACAAGTCACTAAGTCTAGCCCCATACTCAAGGGGAGGAGAATTAGCTCCCTTCCTGGAGGGAGAGTAAATAGCTACTTAAATTATTTGGAATTATTTTATAAAGAAGATTTGTCCCTTCTCCATTTATTATTAAACATTTTTTTATATCAGTGTGGATTCATAGATATTTATTTTATCCTTTGTCTTATAATCCAATACTATTAGCACTTATCTTGCTGCTCAATTACTTCCAGCTTTGGCTACTGGGAACTCTTTCAGGTTGGCTTCTGTTTTCTTTGGATATTGTGATGGTTAAGATTGTGCGTCAACTTGGCTGGGCCATGAATCTCAGTGTTTATATGTGATCACTCCCATGATTGGCTACTGTGAGTAGCCAATCAGATGAAAGGGAGTTTCCTTGGGGGGTGGGGCCTGCATCTGAATATAAGCAGACATTCTGGCTTTTTGCTCACTCTGGATCCTATGGCTGCCTCCTGTCATCTCACCTCTGGTCCTTGGGACTTGAGTTGTCAGCTTATCTGCCAAACTTGGGATTCGTTGATCTGCACAGCCTGTGAGTGGAGCCATGCTCTCTGACCTGCCGATCTTGAGCTCACCATCTTCTGTGGCTCCATGAATTGGGAGAGGCCTCTACCCTGATCCATGGACTTGGGACGTTCTAGCCTCTACAATCGCGTGAGCTATTTCCTTGATATAAATCTCTCTCTTTCTATATATATATATATTTACACACTTTACTGGTTTTGCTTCTCTAGAGAACCCAGCCTAAGACATTTGGTACCGAGAGTGGTCCTAGAGAAACAAAACTGTAAGGATGAGTTTTCTAAATTGTTTCTCAAGTCTGGTTAGTCTTAAAGATGTTGATGACTCTGCTTCCAGCAGTAAAGAGGACACTGCTAGTCCATGGTGTGAGGTGGCGATACAAATACACAAAATATCACCACCAGTAGACCAGGTATTGGTGAATGGTGAGGCTTGGGGTGAATACTTGTGTGATATCTTTCTAAAGCTTTTTCAGAATGAGAAGTATCAGAAAGCTGGTTGGCTTGTCCTACTTTCGCTAGACAAACTGGTGAAAGAAAGAGATGCACTCACGGCTTCAGAGTCACAGCTCAAGTACCGCTTAAATGACCTCAAGGCTTCCACTTGTGCTTTGAAAGAAAGTCTTATTTCTTGTAGTAACAGAACTGAAATTACCAAAAACCAAACCCAGGGTCTTATTGTAAGAGTGGCTAAGTTACAACGCCAGCTCAACTGCCAACCTCAAAAGGTCTGAAGTTAAAGTAAGGGCATTGTTTGGGAAGAAATGGGATCCTGAAACTTGGGATGGGGACATATGGGCAGATAATCAGGAAGCTGGGGACACTGAAACCCTAAATTCTGTTGAATCACTCCTGCCAGCAGAACCAGTCCCGTCTGAAGAGATTACTTCATGTTTGTCTGCTAAACCACCCTGCCCAGAAAAACCATTAGCCGCCCCACTCCCGTCTAAGGAGATTAGCCCTAGCCCAGCTGCCTCTAAAGAGCCCTTGCCTGAGTCATTGCCTGGGGCATCGCCTGAGGCAAATGCTTTACAAGACAATGCTGAATGTTCTCAAAACAATTCCACACTACCCATTCTGGCTTCTAGACCTATAACTAGGCTTAAGTCCCAGCGAGCCCCAGAAGGTGAAGTACAAAGTGTGACTCAGGAGGATGTACGCTACACTCCAAAAGAACTACTTGACTTTTCTAATATGTACAAACAGAAACCTGGGGAATATGTGTTGGAATGGCTATTAAGGGTGTGGGATAATGATGCAAGGAACATAAAGATGGATCAGTCTGAGTTTATTGATATGGGTCCACTAAGCACAGATTGTTCATTCAATGTTTCAGCTCGAGAAGTTAGGAAAGGATCTAATAGTTTATTTCATTGGGTTGCTGAAGTACAGATTACCAGGTGGCCTACACTAAATCAAGTTGAAGTACCAGACCTGCCTTGGTATACTGTAGAAGAAGGTATCCAAGGGCTTAGGGAAATCAGCAAGCTAGAGTAGATTTATCAAGTTAGACCCACACATGGAGTGCCCAGAGGACACACCTTTTACCACAACTGTGAGGAACAAATTTGTGAAGGGAGCTCCAGCATCCCTGAAGACTGCTGTGATTGCTATTTTATGTAAGTCAGATTTGACAGTGGGAACTGCTCTAACTGAATTAAGACACCTAACTACAATGGGGCTGATCGGACCCTGTGGTAGTAGTGGCCAAGTGGCTGCACTCAGTCAACAAAGACAAGGTGGGCATGATTACAGTAATGGACAGAGGAGTCAAAGCAGTAATCAGAATAAGCTGACTCGTATAGACTTATGGCATTGGCTACTTAATCATGGTGTCCCTAGGAGTGAAACAGATAGGAAATCTACTATTTACTTGATCTGTACAAATGGATGAATTCTAGGTTAGGTGAACAGCAGTCTAACTCAAATCACCAGAATAGAGAGTCACGGTCCCTCAATCAACTCCCAAATTTGAGCAAGTTTGAAGACCTACAACCCCTTGAATGAAGGGGAGGCCGGGTCCCCTTGAGGAAGGACTCTAATACACTGCCAAAAATTTTTACTGTTAATCTTTCTCCCAGCCTTCCCCAAAGGGATCTATGGGAGAGTGACTGTTCACTGGAGAAGAGGAAATCATCAGACTTTTCCGGGATTACTGGATACTGGCTCTGAATTGACACTAATTCCAGGAGACCCAAAACGTCACTGTGGCCCACCAGTCAGAGTGGGAGCATATGGAGGTCAGGTTATTAATGGATTCTTGGCTCATGTCCATCTCACAGTAGGTCTAGTGGGTCCCTGAACCTATCCTGTAGTGATTCCCTTAGTTCCAGAATGCATAATTGGAATAGATCTACTCAGCAACTGGCAGAACGCCCACACTGGATCCCTGACAAATAGAGTAAGGGCTATTATGGTAGTAAAAGCCAAGTGGAAGCCATTAGAACTACCCCTACCTAGGAAAATAGTAAACCAAAAACAATACCACATTCCTGGAGGGATTGTAGAGATTACTGCCACCATCAAGGACTTGAAGGATGCAGTAATCTCTACACCACATCCCACCACATCCTCATTCAACTAGTCTATCTGGCCTGTGCAAAAAACAGATGGATCTTGGAGAATGACAATAGATTATCGAAAACTTAACCAGGTGGTGACTCCAATTGCAGCTGCTGTTCTAGTGTAGTTTCACTGCTTGAGCAAATTAACACATCTGGTACATGGTATGCAGCTATTGATCTGGCAAATGCCTTTTTCTCCATACCTGTTTCAAAAGACTGCCAGAAGCAGTTTGCCTTCAGCTGGCAAGGCCAGCAATACACCTTCAGGTGCCTACCTCAGTGCTACATCAACTCTCTAGCCTATGCCATAATTTAGTCCACAGGGACCTTGATTGCCTTTCCCTTCCAAGAGACGTCACACTGGTCCATTACATTCATGACATGCTGATTGGACCTAGTAAGGAAGAAGTGTCGATGACTCTGGACTTATTGGTAAAACATTTGCATGCTAGAGGGTGGGAAATTAATCCCACAAAAATTCAGGCACCTTCCACTTCAGTGAAATTTCTAGGGGTCCAGTGGTGTGGGGCATGTTGAGACATTCCTTCTAAAGTGAAGGATGAGTTATTGCATCTGGCTGTTCCCACAACTAAAAAGGAAGCACAATGCCTAGTAGGCCTCTTTGGACTTTGGAGACAACATATTCCTCATCTGGGTGTGCTACTTCGGCCTATTTATCAAGTGACTCAAAAAGCTGCTAGTTTTGAGTGGGGACCAGAACAAGCGAAGGCTCTGCAACAGGTTTAGGCTTCTGTGAAAGCCCTTCTGCCACTTGGGCCATATGATCCAGCTGATCCAGTTGTGCTTGAAGTGTCAGTGGCAGATAGAGATGCTGTTTGGAGTCTTTGCCAGGCCCCTATTGGTGAATCACAGCACAAACACTTAGGATTTTGGAGCAAAGCTCTACCATCCTCTGCAGATAACTACTCTCCTTTTTGAGGAACAGCTTTTGGCTTGTTACTGGGCCTTAGTAGAGACTGAATGCTTAACCATGGGACACCAAGTCGCCATGTATCATGAACTGGGCGCTGTCTGACCAACAGAGTCATAAAGTTGGACGTGAATAGCAGCACTCCATCATTAAATGGAAGTGGTATATATGAGACTGGTCCCGAGCAGGACCTGAAGGCACAAGTTGCATGAGGAAGTGGCCCAAATGCCCAGGGTGTCTACTCCTGTCACATTACCTTCCATCTCCCAGTCTGCACCTATGGCCTCTATGGGGAGTTCCTTATGATGAGTTGACTGAAGAGAAAACTCATGCCTGGTTTACAGATGGTTCCACGCAATATGCAGGCACCACCCAAAAGTGGACAACGGCAGCACTACAGCCCCTTTCCGGGACCTCCCTGAAGGACAGTGGTGAAGGGAAATCCTCTCAATGGACAGAACTTCAAGCAGTGCACCTGGTTGTTCACTTTGCTTGGAAGGAGAAGTGGCCAGATGTGCGATTATATACTGATTCATGGGCTGTGGCCAATGGTTTGGCTGGATGGTCGGGTACTTGGGAGGAACATGATTGGAAAATTGCAGACAAGGATTTATGGGGAAAAGGTATGTGGATAGACCTCTCTGAATGGGCCAAAGAGGTGAAGATATTTGTGTCTCATGTGAATGCTCACCAAAGGGTGACCTCAGCAGAGGACGATTTTAACAATCAAGTGGATAGGATGACGCGTTCTATGGAAACCAGTCATCCTCTTTCCCCAGCTACTCCCGTCATTGCTCAATGGGCTCATGAACAAAGTGGCCATGGTGGCAGGGATGGAGGTTATGCATGGGCCCAGCAGCATGGACTTCCACTCACCAAGGCTGACATGGCCACAGCCTCTGCTGAGTGCCTAATCTGCCAGCAGCAGAGACCAACACTAAGTCCCCGATATAGCACCATCCCTCAAGGTGATCAGCCAGCAACCTGGTGGCAAGTTGATTACATTGGACCACTTCCATCATGGAAAGGGCAGCATTTTGTCCTTACTGGAATAGACACAACTCTGGATATGGATTTGCCTTCCCTGCACACAATGCTTCTGCCAAAACTACCATCCATGGGCTTACATAATGCCTTATCCACCATCATGGTATCCCACACAGCATTGCCTCGGATCAAGGGACTCACTTCACAGCAAATGAAGTGCAGTAGTGGGCCCACGCTCATGGAATTCACTGGTCTTACCATGTTCCCCATCATCCTGAAGCAGCTGGATTGATAGAATGATGGAATGGCCTTCTAAAGACACAATTACGGTGCCAGCTAGGTGGCAATACCTTGCACAGTTGTGGCAATGTTCTCCAGGAGGCTGTATATGCCCTAAACCAGCATCCAATATATGGTGCTGTTTCTCCCAGAGCCAGGATTCATGGGTCCAGGAATCAAGGGATGGAAATGGGAGTGGCACCACTCACTATTACCCCTAGTGACACACTTGCAAGATTTTTGCTTCCTGACCCTGCGATCTTATGCTCTGCAGGCCTAGAGGTCTTAGTTCGAAAGGGAGGAATGCTCCCACCTGGAGACACATCACTGATTCCACTAAACTGGAAGCTAAGAATGCCACCTGGCCACTTTGGGCTCCTTATGCCTCTGGATCAACAGGCAAAGAAGGGAGTTACCATACTGGCTGGCATGACTAATTCTGATTACCAAGAGGAAATCAGATTGATATTACATAATGGAGGTAAAGAAGAGTATTTACGGAATGCAGGAGATTCCTTAGGGCGTCTCTTAGTACTACCATACCCTGTGATTAAAGTCAATGGAAAACTGCAGCAACCTAATTCCGACATGACTATTAATGACCCAGACCTTTCAGGAATGAAGGTTTGGGTCACCCCACCAGGCAAAGAACCAGGACCAGCCGAGGTGCTTGCTGAGGGCAGAGGGAATGTGGAATAGGTGGTGGAAGAAAGTAGTTCTAAATACCAGTTATGGCCATGTGACCAGTTGCAGAAACGGAGACTGTGATGGTCATGAGTATTTCTGCTTTGTATGTTCACATCAAATATTCTTGTTTCCTTCACTTATAAAATATAGGATGTAAACGGGGCTAGTGCATTTTCGATTGTATGCATGTTAGTTGTAGCATGTTAGGCACAAGTATGACTTTCTAATTGTCTTTATTCAGAGATTATGTATGGTTTAAGGAGATGTGTACATGTGTCAAGTTGACAAGGGGTGGACTGTGATGGTTAAGTTTGTGTGTCAACTTGGCTGGGCCATGATTCTCAGTGTTTATATGTGATCACTCCCATGATTGAATATGCTGTGAGTAGCCAATCAGATGAAAGGGAGTTTCCCTGGGGGTGTGGCCTGCATCTGAATATAAGCAGACATTCTGGCTTTTTGCTCATTCTGGATCCTGCGGCCACCTCCTGTCATCTCATCTCTGGTTCTTGGGACTTGAGCTGTCAGCTTATCTGCCAAACTTGGGATTCATCAATCTTCACAGCCTGTGAGCATGAGCCCTGCTCTCTGACCTGCCAATCTTGGGCTCACCAGCTTCTGTGGCTCTGTGAATTAGGAGAGGCCTCTACCCTGATCCACAGACTTGGGACACTCTAGCCTCTACAATCATGTCAGCTATTTCCTTGATGCAAATCTCTATATATATTTATACAGTTTACTGGTTTTGCTTCTCTAGAGAATCCAGCCTAAGACAGATATGAAGGTATCATTTTTATTTTTATTTATTTTGTGTGTGTGTGTGTACTTCCTTACATCTGGCACTAGAAGATGCTTCAGGTACATCTAGGATTTTCCTCCTCCCAGCCCTAGAACCAAACAATTCTCCAAGGATTTCTGGTTCCTTTTATTGGAGAAGAGTATTTAGAAACCAAGATCTGGATACTAGGTATGAACACTTTCTTCCTTCTCCCTTCCTTCTTTCCTTCCTTCCTTGCTTCCTTCCCTCCCTCCTTCCTTTCTTGCTTTCTTTTTGGCTAGCCACAACTCGGAGATTTTATTGTTCTGGTGGAGCCATAGAGCAAAAATGGAGAGAGCTAATGGAGTACTTAGGTTTACATGTAGACTGTGGTGTTCAATTTTTTTTTAAATACTGTGGTAAAATACAACAAAAATTCACCATTTTAACCATTTTTAAGTATACAATTCATTGACATTAATTGTATTCATTGTGCAAGCATCACCACAGGTATTTCCAAGAATTCTTCATCCCTCCAAACAGTGGACACTTTCTTTTGATCTATGTTCAAGTTCACTTCTCTCAATTCTGGTGATGTCCCTGTGGTCATCTCTGATAGTGTGTTTTCCATGGGCATGTTCATTTGATTGTTTTTTATAGTTTCCCACTCTCTGCTGAAATTCATCATCTGTTCAGACATCTTTTCCATTATATCCTTTAGCTTATTAATCATAGTTTAAATACTAACATATTTTAAAGTCCTTTTCTCATAGTTCCAACATCTGAGACATCTCTGTATATGGTTCTGTTGGTACATTGTGTGTGTAAAAGAATACTAGAGACTCTGGTAAACAGTATTTATATCTGGAAATGGCCAGGTCTCTTC